CTTATTCTGTTGACACTACCTAGCAGCTTGCTTCTTAATGGTGGTTGGGATGGAGTATCAGCTCTCTGCTTAACTCCATCCTCATCTTGCTATGTGTGGGGGGCCAGCAGGGGGCGGGGGCTAGTGTTGTGTGTTTTTCCCATAGGTGTGTGGGTAGAGTAATATGGATAAATTTTCAGTTATATACTACTCTTTTCATGGTCCTCTGGCTAGCTAGGGATAGCAGACTTTTCTTTTGGTGGCCTGGCTTGTAGCATTCTACAGTGCCCTGTCTGGAATATATGGAAGGCGATAAGAAAAGTCAGGGAACTCACCATGTTATCATTCCTGGAGTGCGATTGTCCATAGACACTTCTGCTTCTGGTTTTGCTTTAAGAATTTTCAGGTGCATTATGAATAGTTCTCAGTCCTAGTACTAATTATTCCCATCCACATAGGTGAGATCTTGAATTCACTGCTATTTGGGTTACAGATTTTTCCAGTTGAGTGGATGACAATATTCATGGATCTTGTTTGCTTTATAGCTGCCATGGGTCTTGTTTTTGTGGGCACTGATCTGGCGTGATCTTTCCAGAAGACTCTCTGGTGTTAGTAGTTTCCTTAACAATTGTTCAAACCTCTGCAGATCTCTGGAGTTCTCTGTGTAGTTCTTTCTAGTTTTCTGTCTTAAGATCTCCAGCTGGATTGGTCTCCTTGGACTCTCACTCTGATTTTTCACCTTTGCAGTCCCTAGGGCCCCCCTTAATTCTCTTTTGTGTCATGACTTGAAAATGCTGAAGGTAGTCACGGGTAGGTTAATCACAGAGCATACTTCACTTGTTTCTATCTTTCAGGGATTACCATTCTTTTTTCTTTAATTTTATTTAAAAGATGACGGGTAAGGGGATCTTAACCCTTGACTTGGTGTTGTCAGCACCACGCTCTACCAAGTGAGCTAACTGGCCATCCCTATATAGGGATCTGGACCCGTGCGAGGCCTTGGTGTTATCAGCACCACACTCTCCCGAGTGAGCCATGGGCCAGCCCTAGTGATTACCATTCTTGTTCATTGATATCTACTGTCCAATATTTATTTCATGATTTCATCTTTAATTTTCACTCCTTTTCTTTTAGTCCTTTAGGGTAAATTAAGAAGTCTCTTGGGGCTTTTTAACATCTTTATTTGTGAAACTTTCTCTTTATTAGGTCTGAAATTCTTTTCTAAGCTAGTGAAGTTAGAATTTTATGTGTTTATTTTATTGTATTTATTTTCACACTGCCTTCTACTTAATGTCTAGTGATAACTGGCTTCTATTTATGATAGTTAATTTTCTGTAAAATAAAATTTAAGAACATATTCAGTAAATTGTGATACATCTGATTATGTATATTCCAGAATGTGTTAGAGAGTTGTACTTGAACAAGTTTGGTAGATGGTATTAGGAAGAGACAGAAAATGTTTTAAGCATATAACATTTTAGTAAGCAAAGATCTAATTTAAATAATTTATATTTTAAACCATATACACTGCGTAATGACTTTCATTTTTTGTGGGCATGCACATTTCCTGTTTATGAATTAATAATCTGTCAGCAGTTGCAATAATGACATTTATTGAACCACCATTGTTCCTTAAGTAGAATAATTAAGTGTATTTTTATTTTTATAAAGTTTATGTTGGACACAGTTGGTACCTTAACGGTATCCCTTTGATATTCTCCAGTTCTGGGTTTTGTAAATTTTGAATACCTGAGAGCTATCTTTGGAAGGCAAGAACTACAGGTTAATTGACATCTATTACTCTTTCTCCTGTTTCCCTGTCCTCCAGCCAATGACTGTCACCATTTGGCAGCTGAATGCTCTAGCTTGCCCTTTCTCTTTGTGTTCTACATTGTCACACAAAGTTCCCCGTAGGATTGAGTACCCTCTGTGTATATCAGTAATTAATCTTGGTAATACACTCTTTTTGAGCTTTCTTCCCTTTACTGTCTAATCACTTGCCAGATAAACTACTTCTACCTATGTCTTTATCGAGGACTTCTGGGATAATCCAAGCCAAGATAGTAAGGCAAGAAGCATTTTATATCAGTTTAAAATTGTAGAAGTTTTAGAATATAATTTTTTAAAATAGAAATGAACACCAAAGCTTGAAAAACATAGGAGTATGTTTGTGTGCATTTGTATTAGGGTATTTCAAAAGTTAATGGAAAAATGGAATTAAAAGATAATGTGAATTTCTCCATGAACTTTTTTTTTTTTTCGTTAAATTTTTATTTTGTTAATATACAATGTATATGATTATTATGGCCCATCACCGACACCTTCCTCCCTCCTCCCTCTCTCCCCTCCCCCCCAAGAATGTCCTTTCCGTTTGCTTGTTGTAACAACTTCAAAAAAGTATAGTTGTTATATCTTG